TTATTATTATTTTTTTATTAGCATCCATTGTCTGGTGCTTATCGCAGAATATTAAGTGACAGAAAATCTCCTCAAATCTCCAGCACCTTACTCAGCATCCTTTATTATTATTATTTTCATTATTATCCATTGTCTGGTGCTTATCGCAGAATATTAACTCATGACAGAAAATCTCTTCAAATCTCCAGCACCTTACTGTCAGCATCCTTTATTATTATTTTCATTTATTAGCATCCATTGTCTGGTGCTTATCGCAGAATATTAAGACAGAAAATCTCCTCAAATCTCCAGCACCTTTACTCAGTATCCTTTATTATTATTTTTCATTTATTAGCATCCATTGTCTGGTGCTTATCGCAGAATATTAAGTGACAGAAAATCTCCTCAAATCTCCAGCACCTTACTCAGCATCCTTTATTATTATTTTTTTTATTTATTAGCATCCATTGTCTGGTGCTTATCGCAGAATATTAATATATGACAGAAAATCTCTTCAAATCTCCAGCACCTTACTCAGCATCCTTTATTATTATTTTCATTTATTAGCATCCATTGTCTGGTGCTTATCGCAGAATATTATATATGAAAAAGACAGAAAATCTTCAAATCTCCAGCACCTTACTCAGCATCCTTTATTATTATTTTCATTTATTAGCATCCATTGTCTGGTGCTTATCGCAGAATATTAAGTGACAGAAAATCTCCTCAAATTCCAGCACCTTACTCAGCATCCTTTATTATTATTTTCATTTATTAGCATCCATTGTCTGGTGCTTATCGCAGAATATTAAGTGACAGAAAATCTCCTCAAATCTCCAGCACCTTACTCAGCCTCCTTTATAATTATTTTCATTTATTAGCATCCATTGTCTGGTGCTTATCGCAGAATATTAAGTGACAGAAAATCTCCTCAAATCTCCAGCACCTTACTCAGCATCCTTTATTATTATTTTCATTTATTAGCATCCATTGTCTGGTGCTTATCGCAGAATATTAAGTGACAGAAAATCTCTTCAAATCTCCAGCACCTTACCAGCCTCCTTTATAATTATTTTCATTTATTAGCATCCATTGTCTGGTGCTTATCGCAGAATATTAAGTGACAGAAAATCTCCTCAAATCTCCAGCACCTTACTCAGCATCCTTTATTATTATTTTCATTTATTAGCATCCATTGTCTGGTGCTTATCGCAGAATATTAAGTGACAGAAAATCTCTTCAAATCTCCAGCACCTTACTCAGCATCCTTTATTATTATTTTCATTTATTAGCATCCATTGTCTGGTGCTTATCGCAGAATATTAAGTGACAGAAAATCTCCTCAAATCTCCAGCACCTTACTCAGCATCCTTTATTATTATTTTCATTTATTAGCATCCATTGTCTGGTGCTTATCGCAGAATATTAAGTGACAGAAAATCTCCTCAAATCTCCAGCACCTTACTCAGCATCCTTTATGTTGTGTATGATACACCTAATTTACATAAGCGGACTACCGACCATATAAATATGGGTTGGTACCGGAAGACGGAGAAGATAGTAGAGATTAAGAAATTGAATCCAGAGACTCTGCCCGACTGCGATTTAGTCAACCCATTATGCAGGAACAGTCTTCCCAAGAATATACCAAACTAACTGTAAATATTGTGTACCTATTCTTTGTTTCAATACATTTTGTTAACGTACATTTTGTGTTGTATTATTCCATGCTTATTTAAGCTTCAACACTTTATTATTATTTTCATTTATTAGCATCCATTGTCTGGTGATTATCGCAGAATATTAAGTGACAGAAAATCTCTTCAAATCTCCAGCACCTTACTCAGTATCCTTTATTGATATTTGCTCTATTTGACTATTCATATCTGATGTCTAAGTACAGACTCTACAAATCGCTGGTAGCCTCCATTCTCCTATTTGGATGTGAAACATGGACACTATTGGCAGGTACAGAGAGAGATAATCCAAGCGTTTTTGGACAAATGCATGCGAAACCTCCTTGGCATCTTCTATTGGGAACATGAAAACAATGAGTTTATGCGGAAAAGAGTTGAAAGTTTTGTGGGTAACCAGGGACCTCTTCTCGTCAGTATCAAACGGTGAAAATGGCGTTGGTTTGGAGACGTTACAAAGCAAGACAGCCTGTGCAAGACCATCATGCCAGGTACTGTTGAAGATGGACGTAGGAGGGGGACGCCATCGCAAAACCTGGTTGGACAATGTCAAATAATAGACAGGTACTGTACCAGAATTGCTCATGACTGCCGTTGATAAGCCGTTGTGGAAAAGAGTTAGTGTGGCTTTTATATTCGGATCTCCGCGACGATTACAAAAGTCAAGGGGATGACAATGATGATGATGATGATGGTCACCAATGCAAAAACTGGTTGGACAATATCAAACAATGAACAGGTATGACTCTACCAGAATTAATGATGGCTGCCGTTATAGATAAATATAAAAATATATTTTTATATTAACATATGTTTATATTATATAT